ATATGTTTTGAAAAAAATACAAAAAATTCCACTGATTCTTGAAGTGAATCTATCGTAAAAATACTATAAATCATGATAATTGACAACATAAAATATGTTTTGAAAAAAATACAAAAAATTCCACTGATTCTTGAAGTGAATCTATCGTAAAAATACTATAAATCATGATAATTGACAACATAAAATATGTTTTGAAAAAAATACAAAAAATTCCACTGATTCTTGAAGTGAATCTATCGTAAAAATACTATAAATCATGATAATTGACAACATAAAATATGTTTTGAAAAAAATACAAAAAATTCCACTGATTCTTGAAGTGAATCTATCGTAAAAATACTATAAATCATGATAATTGACAACATAAAATATGTTTTGAAAAAAATACAAAAAATTCCACTGATTCTTGAAGTGAATCTATCGTAAAAATACTATAAATCATGATAATTGACAACATAAAATATGTTTTGAAAAAAATACAAAAAATTCCACTGATTCTTGAAGTGAATCTATCGTAAAAATACTATAAATCATGATAATTGACAACATAAAATATGTTTTGAAAAAAATACAAAAAATTCCACTGATTCTTGAAGTGAATCTATCGTAAAAATACTATAAATCATGATAATTGACAACATAAAATATGTTTTGAAAAAAATACAAAAAATTCCACTGATTCTTGAAGTGAATCTATCGTAAAAATACTATAAATGATGATAATTGACAACATGAAATATTTCAAAAATGTTGTATGTGGGTAGTCTTATTATGCCTTAAATAGCGTCAAAGAAAGTACAGATTTGTCATAAAAAAACTTATTCATTTATCCACGCAAACAATCGCTTCAAAAACTCGGTTATTAGCCCCAAAATATACCATTTATATTATTGGGCCCGTGCATAGCACGAGCAACATTATCTAGTACTCTATAAATTTCATTTTTAAGTTTTAACATGTCACATGTGTGCATTTAATCAAGTCATATCAAGTAGATTAACTAGCACAAGATGTAGATTTTATGAAATGGACAGTTCCCTCTATGGTTATTTTAAAAATCATCAAACCAGATAAGAATGGAATTAATTTTACTAGATGCCACTTTTAAATTCGGATAGTATGGATTATGTTAGTATGAATAATGATGTTGATGTAGTAGGTAATTTAGGCGATGGAAATGCCTTAGTATGGATGCATAATTATATCTATAAATAAAATTTCTCTATTCGACAAAAAGAATAATCTTAACAAGTATGTCGGTAGGACCCGTTTGTAGAGTAAATTTCTTAGATAATCACCCATGGTTGGTAATAAAATTTGGAGGTCAAATTTATTTATTTTTTATTTGAAATTAATATTTATTTATAAAATATGAACAAAATTCCACTTCATTATATTATATTTCAAAGAAAAATTCATAATTTAAAATTTTGCAAAAGAAGACCCATACTTGACGTGAAGAGATTGTTTATACAATATGAGGGGATTATATTAAAGAATAATTAGTTATCGATATTATTAATTTATTGGATCAATGAATCTTTGTAAAATTATGTCTATTTAAAAATTTGTAATAACATGTAATCGCAAACCTTTATTTATTAAGAAAATACGAATATATACAATTTATTAATGTGACACCTTAGAATATACATTACCTTGTAAATGAACTATATATGGTTTGCTTGGTGAGATTATAATAGTTTTGATAAACTGTGGGGATTTTCATATTTATGAAGAGAAAATATTATTTAAAGAATTCAAATTGCATGTCAAATAAAATTGAAGTTTTTGCAAGAACTTTCCCTGTTTTGGGTAGTCTATAAAAAAAATTGATTCAATTTCCTAGTAGAGCTTGGATGTTGTATTAATCCCAAAATTCAGCACCTACATATTCAAGGAGGTGAATAGTCTTATTTTTGCCTCCAAAATTATAGCTGCAAAATAGAAATATACCTAATTAAAATTAAGTTCCAACAAATAGCATCTAGTAGCCTTTAATTGTCATCCTTAAATATAAATAGTAGTTTCAATTTTTGTCTATGTTGGTCGTTTGATAAAAAATTACAGCCAAAATACTCTTATTTATGATATAATTTCGCAAGACAAAAAACTTTTTCTTACCTTACATAAGTTGTATAGTATCTAATTTGTAAGACACAATTTAAACTGACCAAAACTCTATAGGAATAAACTATTACTCGATCTTAAGACACAACTTTATAGGTTCCAAAATTGAATGAATACTTTTATCAAAATTAAATTTTACATGAACTAAGTTATATCTTATATGACATAATTTGTAGGCTACTAGCCTTTTAGGGTAAAACATTATATTATAATAAGTTTTATAAATATGACATAAGTTGCAACTTATGAACGTTCTAAAACTAGACTTATGCCTTTATTGTCGTAAAGATCTAAGTTTATCCTTTTTAAATCTTTCTACCAACCCTTTTTTTTATTGTTGTTTTTGGGTGATAACCCCCCCCCCCCCCCCCCCCCACCCCCTTTTTTTTTGTTTAGCTTATTATAATTAACCGACCATCTTCCGCTTCTTTTTTGCAAAATAAATCTTTTCTATTTATAGAGCCTTCATCTTTTCCTCTTAGGGTGTGGTTGGTATGAAATGTTTGAAAAATATTTTTTAAATCAACTCACTTTTCTCAAATTTAAGGAAAATGACTTCTCTTCTTGTCAATCTCCTTGAGGCTTGAGCAACTAGCGAATTTATTTTTGTTTTTTTAATATTAGAGTTATATCAGTCATATTTTATTATTTAAAATGATAAAGGATAAAATTAAATATATTCCAAAAAATAGAGGCTTTCTGCAAATGATCCAATAAAATTTTCAAATTTAAATCAATCTAATTTCAAATAATTTATTTGAAATGATCCTTAAAAGACCTTTATAGTATCGTGGATATACATGATAAATGCTTTTATATTTTTCCTTTTTGGAAGACTCTTGGTGGAAATAAATTATTTTCTAGCACACTAATTACTTGAAAATAATAAACTTTAAGAAATCTTATAGCTTGTTTGCCAAATTTTCAAGATCAGCTTATTTTGAAAAGTATTTTTTTTCTATGATACTTTTAAAAAAATAGTAGTATTTCTTAGTTAGAAGCAATTTATATTTGACCAATAATTTTATTAAAAAAATACTTTTGAGACGTAATTAGAGTCTATTTGGATTGACTTATAAGCCAAACTAGTAATAAGTTAGAAATTCTAAGAGGGTGTTTGGATGGGCTTAAAGTTGGTCAAACTTATTTTTAAGTCAGTTTTAACTTCTGGAAGTCAAGGGCGGAGCCACATGTAGTTAAGGATTTAAAAAGCTATTTTTTTAAGTCTATCCAATCAGGCTCTAAGTTATGACTTTTGACTTATTTATATCATTGTAGCTTAAAATCAAATGAATATTTATTGAAATACTTCAAAAGTATTTAAAATGTATTTAAAATGTATTTGGACTTAAAAATACCAAAAATAAGTTAATTCAAGCAGGCTATCGCTATTTGACCAAAAGTGTTTTTAAATGTAACAACATCCTTTCATCAACCAAGCTTATAATTATAGATTATCCAAAAACACAAGTTAAACTAACACATAAAGAAAAAAAAACATAGACACACACACACACACATATATATATATATATATATATATAGCAAATAGATTGACAATAAGCTTTATCGCCCCGCCGTGGCTCCTTGCAGCTTTAAGCGTACAGACGTTATTGCAACACACTCATTTTCCTTATAATATTCAGTTATTAATTAGAGTAACCATAATATATATATGGTTCTCTTTCTCAAGCTCAAAGGAAACGCCTTTATTAAAACACTACATGAAGAGAAATAAATTAAAAACGAGACGTAAAATTAAACCATAAATCTCTCACAACTCATAATCCTCGCGATCCATGAGAATCCATTTTCCATCTTCTTGTTGAACCATCCCATTGTGCTTCTCGACCCACCAAGCTCCAGGTACCAAATATTCATCTTTTAGAATGTCCCATATCCTGTTCACAAGTGAGAGATCGCGATTCACCTCTAGTTTAAAACCATCTAAAGGTCCAATTCCTTGAGTACCATCAATTCCATGCAAGTAACCTTCCAAATTATGCCTAGTGTGTGGGTCCCCGGGATTCAATTTCAAATAGGGGGATTTTGTGGTGTCAATTATTATTTCCTGTCCAACATCGAAATACCCAATGGGTGGGTATTTTGATACAATATCTAATAAATTATGAATTCTCATGATGTGAAGGTGTTCCAATTTGTTAACTGCGTTAACAAAATTGAGATCTCCAACTTTAGGACTTGCAAATACAAAAGCTGTCACTGGAAATTCCTTGCCACTGCTTGTTTTGTTGATTCCGTTGTAAGCTATGTCGACTGCATTTAGAGTTGCAAGTGATGCACCTAGGCTATGTCCAGCCACTGTTATACTGACCTCATCGTCCTTGTATTCCTCAACCAATCTTTTCACTTCTTCAATTACCTGAAAACATGATTCAATATTTTTACTAATTTATAATGAGATGATCATACACTTCAACTGTCAGAATTTAATATGTACCTGGTCTCTAGCACTCGCTTGATTATACTTTGATCGTGCACTTTCTGATGTATAAACGTTGTAGAATCCATGATGCACCAATGGTTTGAACAAAGGAAGTAAACCCCCATCACCAAACACTTTTGGTCCTGGAATTAGTAAAAATTGAAGGTCGTTAACCCACTCCAGTGTCTGAATTGTTCCTCTCCAAGCAATCAAAATATCCCTCCTTCCTAGTGAAGCTTTACCCTCATCAGTAGCCACAGCAATATATCCCATAAAATTTGATTCCTTACTCCATGCTTCCCTTGACAATGATTTCGTAATGAAAGCATCAGGAAGTGGAATAGATGAGGTAGCATAGAAATATTTAGTTACGCGATACTTCGTTGGGTCAAGGCCAGCCTTAGAGAAAAGATTTTCCATCGAGTATCTACTAGCTCCAGCATATTTCGATGCTTTTTCTGAAATGAAAGTGTCATAAGTTACATGAGCTAATTCTCCATATTGAATGATGTATCTACGAAGATCAACATCCAATGGGTTTAATAGCCCCTCCCATTTGTTTTTCCCACTAAGTTCCTCCCATTTCTCAGCCATGCTACCCATTTTTTTCTTCCTCTTTTATGTTTTTTTTTTCTCTCTTTATTTTTTCTTGGTATGTTCTTATTATCATTTAGCCAATGTATTTATAGAGAAAAAAAACTCGTTTCCATCTAGAGCTTTCTTATGCGTGAAACATGATTTCAGTGTTCAATTAATTATTGATTTTCTTCTATTAACTTAAAGTGATAAAATAATCTTAATTCCCCAATTAATTAATTAAATGACCAAGCAATTATTAAATACCCTTTGTTGTACCACCAAACTTTCACTTATTAAATACTAGTAGAAATAGTAGATGATTTTATTTACTCACGTTTTAGTTACTTGATAACGGTAGATAGCTAGATACCTACTTTTAGCAGTACTAATCCATACCTACTCGCCAATTATATATTTCTCCCTAATTTATGTATCTTATTTTTCCTACTTATCTGATTCATTAACACTTCATATTTTAAATATTAAATTAACAAAACATAAATAAATTGGGAGATTTTGAAGTAGTAACTTCTTTTCGTTTTTTTTCTTGTGTTGCTGATGAAAGGGGAATGTTTGTCTTACTGAATTTGGTTGGGCTTGTGTTTCCTTTCAATTACAATTTTTTTTTATTATTCGTTTGAGAGTTTATTGGATTTGAATTCATGCCAAGAAGTTTTATATAGAAAGTAAAGCGCTTCTTAGCAAAAAATATTTCATACTTAGAACTTAAACATAAATTTCTAATTTAATAAATGAAGAAATACTCATCACTTTGCAATAATTCTCATGAAAAAAGGGGTGTAATTTTCTATCTAGAACTGTTGTTTTATCTTTCTATGTATTTTTTTTAATAATTATATTTAATAGAATATGAACCAAAAGAACATTTCAAATGGACCAACCTAATGTATAGGTTTACATTAAATAGTGAGCTTCAAATCACAATATTTGGAAACTCTTTTCATAGTTTAAAATGAATTATTTAAAGTTTTTAAAAAATTATTGATTTTTTTTCATGTTTACTTTTAATTATATATTTTCTAATAGAATAACTTGAAGATAACAAAAAAAAAAAATAGTAAAAAAGGGATTACGTAAATTTGAAAAACATATTTTTTTATATTTTTTCATAATAACTTTTAACTTTACATTTTTCAATTTATATGATAGTATATTTTTAGCTAGTCACAAAAAAATATAGTTTTTATATTTGATAGTAATTTAACTTTAAAATATTGTTTTATCCTTTAAATATACCTTCTTTTTTTAAAAAAAAGTCTTTTTAAATTACATGTCCAATCAAACAATATCTATAAATTGGGTGGGGTGTGAATATTCAATACTTTCTCCATCCCATATATTAGTTGATCACTTTACTATAAATAATTGTACCATATTAGTTGATCACATTACTAAATCAAAAGAACATTAATTAAATATTTTCTATATTACCTTTATCGTTAATATTTTTTGAAATTGTTTACATTTGTTTGCAAAATTTCTAAGAAGTTTTTTAAAAGGTAAATTAGTAAAACTATCTTCTTATTTATAATTTATTAATATTCATGTAAAAAATGATCAACTAATATGAAACGGGGCCGTTTCATGGTTCAATATGTTTCCTGTTTCATTGATGGATTGCAAATAATTTACCATTACTTAGGCCTCATTTGTTTTCATTGCGATTAAGACCTTTGAATCTGAATGCACGTCTGAACATTAAGATTTGCATTAAGAGTTAGTTGTCAAGATATGAATACACATCTGAATATTAAGATGCGGTTTCCAAATCTGAACACTGAATGATTATTGTTTGTTTTCAATAACTGAATGTGCATATGAAATCAAACTTATTAATAAAATGTTATAAAAGAAATTATTTCAACAAAAAATATTACTTTTTGATTAAAAATATCATAATCATCAAGCATAACATAAAAAAAATCACGAATAAAAAGTATTTTATAATAGGCACAATTTAATATCAAAAAGTTCAATAAGTATATAAATACTAGTTGAAAAATAATAAATAAGGTATCACATTATAAGCGCCTAACATATATTTTGGCTAATTAGAAAAACTAAAGAATTCTTTTTTTTCTTCCAATAACCTTAATCCAATTCTCTAACTTGTGAACCTCTAATGTCATTCATGCTTTTTTGTAGTGGACACTTTCACAAAATATACTAACACATGTACTGTTTAATGACTCTTCCCATTCAAGTCCATCTAATTTTTTCATATATTCTTTAAATGTAGGTGCACTATTTTTTTAATCAATAACTCCAGAGCAGTAATCATCTTCTCATCAATTCCAGTTCAGATGAATAAGTTTTTTTTCTTCCCCAAAACCTTTTTTTCCAACTGAAACGAAATATTGGGATGGATCCAATTCAGATGAATAAGTTTTTTTTCTTCCCCAAAACTTTTTTTTGGGGCTGAAACGGAAGATTGGGATGGAAAATTATTAAGAGCTTCATTATTTTTGTCACCAACTAGTATATTTGTGTTATCTCACAAACGAATTTGATGATCAAAGAGTCTCAATAAAATTATTGGCCTAAGACAAAATTCTAATAAGAGACCTCAAATATGTATACATAGCTATTATTTTTAATTATGAATCGTATTTTTTTCACTCAAAAACCTTGATGAACATCAATACACTAAAAATATTATTGCAACATGTGTTCTTGACAAACATC